ATTTTTTTACATTAAACATTTACGAAGTACTAGTTTTCTATATAAGAAGGGCATGCCTATAGGCACGAGGGGCATGCCGCAACTCAGGCATGCCCTCAAAGGCATGCCTGATTTTTTACCCGTGCCTCAAACCCTACATGGCAAGGATTAGTGCTCTGGTTTAAAGATATCCAAAGTTTATACATTATGAAAAGAAAATATCAATGTTAAAATGAAGCTTTATAATAGAGATATATTAAATATTGCAATTAGTATATAATTTTTTTACCCTTGTACAGGTTATAATAGTGCATCTTTTTCATATATATGTCATGACTATAACTTCTTTTTTTTTGTTTTTTCTATCTTTATCTTTTAAATTTCTTTTTTATTTAGTGCACTCTTCCCCTCTTTTTTTTCTTCTTTTTATATTCTTTTTCTTTATACCCTTTCTATATGTTTTCTTTTTTTTTTTTTTTTTTTTTATTGGTTTTTTAATAGTCTTACTAGTGTCTATCAGAATTCCTTATTTTATCCAATCTCAACCATTTCCGGCCTAATATTAGTTACTCATTCCAGAGGGAACCTAACATTTTCTGGCTTATCATATTGACCACCTAGCAACGATCTATCACACCGACTACCAGAGAAGACAGATTATCTTGGTGCAGGAACACATGACCTGCTTATGCACTGTGAGTTCATATAGTATCATAAATATCAGACTTAGGCCTCATATTACATCTCACAATAGCGTTAGTTATTCCAAATCAGGGTTCTAACACATTTTTATTTTATAGCCATAGCTTCTCGGAATAACTATTCTCTGAATACATCTATCTATAGATGTCTCAGATTTCCTGATACCCCGCAGTGTTTCACTTCTATATTCGATTCTTTTCATTATTTTGCCACTTGGAGGAATTGAACTAGCAACCTTTTGATTTACAACCTGGGAGCATAACCACTATGCTATCAACCTGCAGGTCTATATTTTTTTTTTAGTTTTTTTTTCATCATAGATAAATTATGGTTTAATCTTTCTGCCAAGATCTAGATAAAAAAAATTGAAAAAAAAGAGGTAGTCATGATGGGCTGGTAAATCCTGGCCAGTGAATTGTGGATTTCTAATCTGAGGTAAATTAAAAAAAAAGCAAAAAGGTTAATTTTACTCTGGCAGGTCGCACATAGGTGCTTTTTAATAACCAGGTGAACCACACTTTAGTATAAAACAGCTTAGCTGTAGATAAAAAACATGATAATAAAACCTGTATATATTCTATTTTAAATAATAAAGTTGTGACATGACTGCTTGGAAAAAAAAAAAAAAAAAAAATTAAAATCCCAGAGGGGGGGTATAATGAGCTAATACTTGTTAGCCCCCTTAATAGTTCAAACAAATAATTTGCATGTAAAAATTTCTCTTTTTTTCAAAAATATATCGATATATTTTAACGGTTCAAACAATATAATTATAAGCTATTTGCATGTAAAAAATTAATTTGAATTTTTAGTGCAACTTTCTTTTTACAAAAAATCGCAAGTTTTTTCTATAAATAGATTACAGTAAATCGCATAATTTGCTGATATCGAAAACTTAATTTGCTAAATTATATCTGATTCCGCAGATCTCTGGATTCGACTGATAACTTTGTTATCCGACATGTCTGACGTAAGCACTGAGTGATTCCGTGCAACTTATTCGAAGTGTCGGATAATGAAAATTATTTATTCGAATATATATTCACCTAGACACGTCAGCAACACTGGCCGGGGGTATAGTTAGGATCTACATGCAGACTTGATTATTTAATACGTACGCATGCATGCACCTCAAGCTTATATATGTATAGCTGATAGTATATATATACGTACGTACAACAATCTTTCTCTAATTAGTTTTTACTTTTTTTCTTAATCATAAAAAAAATATATACGTACGTACGTATCAATAGGGATCAGTTACTCTTGAATATAAATAGATAAATTATGAATATTTTAAGCGATCAGTGATTACGATATAATTGCGAAAGTGAATAGTAAAAATGAAGTCATGGATTAGAATAACCCATTAAGAAAGAATTAGATCCACCTTTTTTTTTGCTTTAACTAGAAGAGATAAAAAAGAAAGAGATGACGAGCGAATGAGTGCTTATATTACTGAAGTAGTAAGGCAAACTCAATGTATATTTCGTGATATGAATTTATTAACATAGAAAAGTCTTGAAAACCACTGATCAAAAGTTTATGATTATTCACATGACCGGATTATGTGATTCAAAGAACCTGAGGAGAATGAAAATACAAAATTTATCTTGATATCAAATTTAAATGCTTCGTCAAACTTTTTCAAGATAAATTATATTTATGTGGGAAAATGATGTTAAAAAAAATGTATATATTTAACCATTTACGGAAGGGATTAATTATTTTTTGATCTATAAAATGTGCACAGAAGGCTTTAGGAGATTGATAAAAATTATTATCGTTGTAGTGATAATTATTGTAGTCCTTTATTTATACCAAAACACAAAATATCGGGTATCATCGTATAAAGAAAATGCGAAAATCTGTATAGTTAACTCTGGTAAGGAAGGTGACAGATATTCAAATGAGGTATTACGTAATATCTGCTTTCCTAATAGATTTTCATTAATGAATTATTAATCAGAAAAATAGATTTCCGAAATTTTAAATAGACTAAAATTTTTTAATGCATCGATTTATTTCGCGTTATTCAGAAATTTCAAAAACTTTGATAGAAATTAAAGACCCAATCGTATCCGCAAAAAATCGTACTTTACAACTTTCAAAAGCATTTTCAAATATGCCTCCTATTGCAAAAAGTAACCATTATGATTACCTCGTTATTGGTGGAGGTAGTGGTGGTTTAGCTTCGGCCAGGCGCGCCAGTTCTTATGGTGCTAAGGTTGGCATTATAGAATCGAGTGGTCGGTTAGGTGGAACTTGTGTTAACGTCGGTTGTGTTCCTAAAAAGGTCATGTTCAATACTGGTAAGATTGAAAGTGCCAAAATTGCGTTGTAATTTTAATATTTTATTTTAATTAATAATAACATACAAATACGTTTAGCTTCTGTTGCTGAGGCTTTGCATGATGCGCAGCAGTATGGCTTTGATCTAACATCGATTCCCAAATTCAATTGGGGCTTCCTTAAGCAAAAACGCGATGCATACATTAAGCGTCTAAATAATATTTATCTTAATAATCTTGTCAAAGATGATGTCGAATATATTGAAGGAAAGGCAAGTTTCGTATCCAAAAATAAGTTAAGAGTAGAACGCGATGGACAGGTTGAGGAAATAGAAGCGAAAAGAATTCTAATTGCTACTGGTAAAACGTTTTTACATACTATTATATTTATCAATTTTTATTTATTAACAAACTTATCAATAGGTAGTCGCCCTCGCTTACCCCATAAAATCCCTGGTTTCGAATTGGGCATTACGAGCGATGGTTTCTTTGAGCTTGAAGAACAGCCTAAAAAAGTTCTTGTCGTTGGTACAGGATACATTGGAATTGAACTTGCTGGAATATTCAACACTTTAGGTAGCTTTTACCTTGAATTATGTTAAATTTTATGAATTACTTATATAATTACTTGCGTAATTTTTGATTTATCATAAATCTTCAGGAACGAATACATATTTATTTACTCGTTCGGATGAAATTTTGCGTACATTTGATCCAATTATCAAAGATACGCTTCTTGAACAGTCAAAAAAGGAGGGAATACACGTTCTATCGTGTGCTCAAGTAAATTCTTTATCACGTGACTCGCCCTCTGGTCCTATAAAAGTTAATTTTACTTCAAAAGAAACAAACGATGCAGTAGAAGAATTTGATACTGTTCTATGGGCGATTGGAAGGATTCCGAATGTTGAAGAGTTAAATTTGGAAAATATCGGCGTCAAACTAAATGAGAAAGGGTATATCATTAGTGATGAATATCAAAATACTACTGCCGAAGAAATTTATGCTTTGGGTGACGTCTGTGGTGTGGCGCAGTTAACACCTGGTAGCTATGCAATGGTAATCATATAATGTGAAGTATATTTTCGTGTTAACTTCTTTTTTTTTTAAAAAAAAAACAAACAAACAAATAGTTGCTATTGCTGCTGGGAGACGTTTATCTGATCGTGTTTTTGGTCCTCCAAAGTTCAAATCCAGTAAACTTGATTATGACAACATTCCAACAGTCGTATTTCATGGTACTTGTGGTAGTGTTGGTTTGACAGAGCCTGAAGCACGAAAAAAGTTTGGAGATGAAAATGTCAAATCCTACACTTCTAAATTCGTAAACATGTACTATGCTATGACTGAACAAAGTAATTTTTCTTTCAATAAAAATTTATCTTTTTTGTTTTTATACATCAAATTCAATAATTGATTAATCTTTATAAATCTTCAATAGAGCCCGCAACAGCATATAAACTTGTCGTAGTAGGTGAAGAAGAAAAGGTTGTCGGTGTTCACCTTGTTGGAAAAGACTCTGCTGAAATTGTAATTAAAAACATATGTTGGTCTTGTTATACTTAATGTTGCCGAAATCAATAATGTATATGTTGCCTATTTTATAGTTGCAAGGGTTTGCGGTTGCTGTTAAAATGGGTGCTACGAAAGCAGATTTTGATAGTACTGTTGCGATACACCCTACTGCTGGAGAAGAATTGGTAATAATATTGCGTCTAGCTAGAGTTTATAACTATTCTATTTCATTTATCATGTGTTAACTATACAATCTTCTTTTCGATAGGTAACGATGAAATGAAGTCTTGATAAAATTTTATTCTTTTTGTAAAATAGATAATTTATAAATGCCAATAAATAGTAAAGTTATAGAATTCACGTGACGTGTAAGAAAATAAGTTTATTTCACTTTATGATCATTCCCTCCACCGTATCAAAGCGAAAAATGACTTTTGCCTATTTGAGTTGTATGTCATGAAATTCAGTTTCGCATGTAAAATTACTGCACGAAGAATTAACATGGTTGCGATAATCTGTACGTACAGTGAATACAAATAAAAAAAGTTCTTTTTGACCAAATCAACTATGGTGTGGGTAATCTATCCTAGACAATTATATATTTTTTTAAACTGATCGGCTTTATAAAGTCAATGCGTTTCAGAAATTAATATATAATGTCTAGCATATATTTCAATTATAACTAAATTTTTTAAAACCTAATCAGTAACTTTGTTCTTTTATAATAAAAAGTTTTTAAAATGGCCAAATAGGTATTGCATCTATTTTATACTATTTTTTTATTGCATAAACTATCCGGTACTGTATGTTAATGTATTTTAACGAAATTTTTAAAAATAAATTATTAAGCGATTATGATATTTCGATGAATTCAAATTTCAATGGGTATTTTTTCCTAATGAAAGTTTATAAGATACGTACAGAAATTAATTATCGCTATCGTTATACAGATTAGATTTGTGATTGGCTATATATCATTTATATACAATACAGTAGTTTAATTCTCTACTAAAATAATGTCTCGTAGTTCAATATCTTTTCTAAATACTCCTCCACGTTCTCAAAATGACATTAATAAACCAAAATCTCAAGCAACCTCAAAACAATCTATTGATCCGGCCTTGGTACAACTCTTTGGCAGGTTGGTTTTTGACGCGTCCAAGTGTTCGCTTTTAGAAAAAATCTGATTTGGTTTCTGTTACCAATTCCGACGCAGGAAAACATTTTCAACTATTATAAGAATATATACCTTTTAAATTAAATAAGTGATTCTATATAGTTATTTCCTTTTTCCCCTAAAAATGAAATTATTCTTGCTTTTGGTATTCGTAGATCTTTCGGGACCATTCGTACAACCCTGATATTATCCGATGGTCAGTGTCCGCCAAATGTTATGGATAAAATTTTAAATGATAACTTAGACTATTTGCAGCAAATGCTGGATGCATACGATAAAAAAACTTTGGCCGCTCCACCAACTACGATGGGTGATAAACCCTTTGATCTTACCGAAGCCTCTCTTAGCAACCTGCTTCTGCTCGATTCGTCCGTTTGTAAAAACTTAATCTGCAGCTTCAAAGAAGAGAACGTGACATGGGAACAATGGAGTAGTGATGAATTACGAGAAAAGATAATTCAGCATTATTTTGAAGAAAGAATTAATGTTATTGAAATTTTATGCTATTTATTTTTTCTAGCATTAGATCCAGATAAAGTGTATCACGAATTGTCAATAGAAATAATTCAAAATCATTTTTTAGATGATACCTTTAAAGATAGAATATTTGATCAATTTAAACGAAAATCTCAACAAGATGTACCTCAAAACTTTTTGGATGCTGACTTAGCAACATTATGGGCAACTCAGTCTATAAAAGAGCAAAAAGTTTTATTAGATCTTTTGTTCCTACGATATGCTGTACAATCTCCAGAACAATCATCTCATTTGTTGTTATTAAAATTTCTCAACCATTCGATTAGTACAAGATTTGGTCGTGATCAGCCTACTGACCGATTTCTTGATCCATTTGGAAAAGAAATCGTTTCTCAAACCCACGATCTTAGTCAAATTTTGGTAATCATAATTCTATTTGTTGAATTTAATGTTGATATTATTCTACCATCTGCTCCTTTACGTCTCAAACGACCTGCATCACAACAAGATATCATGGCTATCAATGAAGTTGCATTAAAAATGGGCAATGATCCAACACATGGAATTTTTTTATGGATTTGGTCATCATATTTATCTCATTTACAAACCTATTTTGACGAAACGAATTGGCTTTATGCTTATCAAGAACTTGAAACGATCGTGAATAGTATAACAAGGGAATTCGGTATCAAAGCATTCAAGCTTAATGTAATTAAGTATATTAACCTTGTCCTAACTGGTTCGTGTTTTCGACCAGAAGAACCATATGTTACAGGTTACAAATTAGTATTTAAGCACTTTTTCATGTCAATCTTTGAAGCTTATGAGGTTAACCATTTACCGGATTATGAAGGTCTTGTGGAATGTTTTGCGTTAGTATTTGGAGAGTATGGCCCATGTCAAGAATTTTGGGAAGAGGACTTCGATCATCCTAAACGAAGGTCATTATTGGATTTGGCAATAGCTAGATTTCCACAACAATTTGGTCCACTCATGCGGTTGCTTACTGCTTTATCTGCCAATTCTGCTTCTGCGAAATATGTATTTGAATTTTTACGATCATTCTCTGTATGTTGTTGCTTGGCTAATGACGGACAAATAAATGTAGTTGAATCTGGTCAATATGTAGTATTGGCTAGTCAACCTATTAAAATATTTGAAGACTTTTATCAAAAGACTATTACAATTCCACAGGGTACATATGGTAACATAGTCTCTCTCACCAATGGGAACAAGATAGTTCGTTGGAAATTCAATTATTCGGCTTGGCATCTTTTTGGAAACATGTTAGAATCTTTTCCTATGACACAAATTGATAAGTCAGGATCCATTTCATCGTTATCAGATGATACTATAATTTCTAGAATTAGGGATATTTTGCAACTTTTACATACAGTTTTAACATATGCACCAAATTTAGTTAAACCATTTATCGAGCACTTAGAATCACGTGAAGAAATTATCAGATATTATACAGACTTTCCATCAATTATTTTT